CCCCCAAATCGTTACATCAGCGCAACCGACAACTGAGAAGTGAAGAATACAGGACAACTAGTCTCTTTTTTAACTAAATAACTGAGGGCTCTCGTGGCCTAGATGTTATGATAACGATGATGAAGAAGATGATGAGGATGATGATGGTGAATGATGATGATGATTATTATTATCATCATCATCATCATCATCATCACCTTCATCATCACCATCATCATCTTCATCAGCATCATCATTATCATTATTATCATAATCGTTATCATTATTATCATTTCAATTATTATTATTTTTTATAATTTTTTTTAAGTGGCCTCTCATGAAATCGGTCCCAGGTTCCAATAGGGACAACGACGAAAAATGTTTTTTTCTTTTAAAATTTTTAAAAATATCCTTTTGCCTCCTTTCCTGCTTTCTCTTTTCCTGCTCCCTTATCATGTTCTGTCGTCTGCTTTCGTCTCCACTCACAACCCCTCCCTCCCCCCCCCCCCCAAACACCACCCTTTGCCCTCTCCTCTGGGCTCCTGACTCTTTCTGCTGCTTTTCTACTTCCGCTCGTTGGCTCCTCTTACTGCATGCTGTCTTTCCGTCACACCCCTGGTCTTATGGTAGATAAGAGCGACTATAATTTGTTTATGTTGAAAGGAGAAAGAACCAGCACTCCCAGATAGATATGGCTGCTCATCATAAGGCCAAGGTTGTTCTAGGCTCGACCAACAACCTTTTTGGTTACAGATCAGTCAGTCTGGTTGATCACTACTGGACCCCAAACGATCCGAACCTGAGTCCACTGGACCTTCACCGTTGGGGGTTTTTGAAGGACAAAGTGTGGGTGGTTGGCGGGTGCTCTGGTGTGGTTTGCTCCTTCTTTCCTATCAAATCCATCGTCCTGATCTCTCCTCCTTTTTTATGTTTGTTACTCTCTTGTAACGCCTCTAATCTTCGTCACTTATATGACCTTATTGTGTTGCAAGTGCCGTAAAACTCTTACTAAAACTAAAACAGAACAGTCAGTCTGGCTGGACCCTACTGGACCCCAAACGAACCGGACTTGAGTCCACTGGACCTTCACCGTTTGGGGTTTTTGAAGGACAAAGTGTGGGTGGTTGGCGAGTGCTCTGGTGTGGTTTGCTTCTTCTTTCCTATCAAACATCTGTCGTCCTTATCTCCACTTCTTCTTTTTTGTGTTTGTTACTCTCTTGTAACACCTCTAATCTTCTGGCGCTCATTTGACCTTATGCAGTTGCGAGCGCCGTAAAACCTCCACCAAAACTAAAACGAAGGACAGAGTGTATAGAAAAGCCTTTGAAAGCAGCCAATACTAAGAGAAACTATAAAGGAGGGCACAAGAGAGATTTTCCCCGAGCAGTGTCAGTGCTTGATTGTCAGTTTCACTCAGTGTGTCAGGGTGTGCTTTACTCGAAATTGGGGGTGTCTGGAAGATAGTTTTTAACTCTGTTTGTGGCAGCCATATTCTATTGTTATAAATACACAATAAATCCGGATAGATGTAGATAGATCTACCGTGTTTCTGCAAACTGTGGTGTCTGTAACATTTATTTTCATAAGGGTTTTATCGGCGTTCTTTTGGACGAACTTTTTTCTGGTCACCTGGGTATGACCTCATACAGTTGCGAGCGCAGTAAAACACTTACCAAAAATTATTAAAGACAGGGAAAAGAAAAAAAGAAAAAGAATTATATTTTTTTAAGTCCAACAGGTGAAAAAACGTCAATTTTTTTCTTTTCATTTCATTATTTTGACTAGCATCTGATTCCCCCCACGATGCCATGGAATCATAGACATGGCGGTACAGTTGCTATCATCTGTTACCATCTCGTGCCCTCTTCTGCACTTTTATACCTCACTCATCTCTTGACTAAATGCGCTGGGAATTTGCAGATGGGTTTGAAATTCTACTACCCTTCGGAAATCGAAGCTGCTATTAATTTCGTCGCTTCCTATATTGTAAAAATAAAATGGCCTTGCTTGAAAATAATATACTATTTAGAATAGTTTACATTACCGAGGTGACTTCGTTTCAACAAAAACGACTATTTCATACAAGCGCTCATATTTTTCTCCGCACTGCATGCTTTTTCCATGCTTTTGAATCCTCAAAAATGACTTTTTAAAACTCAATGCCCAAATGCCTACCTTACTGTACAATTGAATGTTCAGGTCAGAAATTGTGCTATATTATTCCAATAATGATCAAAGAAATTCCCAACCGTGGCGTCGGTAGCCTAGTGGTTAGGCTACCGGACTCGTAATCGTGAGATCGCGAGTTCGGGGTTTCGAGCCTCAGCTCGGTCCGACGTTGTGTCCTTGGGAAAGGCACTTTACACGAACTTCCCACTTGGCTCGGTCCTGTCGGAGACGGACGTTAAACTAGGAGGTCCCGCCCCTTAAACAACATAATAGTGTTGAAAGGGGCGTTAAACCTATACCATTTCATTTTCAAAGGAATTACCTGTTCTGAATAAACCGTTTAACGTGCAGATGAAAAGACAGTATAGTCAAAATACAAATCTGCGTGGAATGGAAAAAGCAGAGCAATACAACCGACTGTTTTGCTTTTTTTAAACCTTGCATGAAACTGTGCGCAAGAGAAAATTTTTTTAGTTTTAGTAAGAGTTTTATGGCACTTGCAACACAATTAGATCATATAAGTGCCGAAAGTTAAATGTGATACAACAGAGTAACAAATCCAAGAAGAAGGGGGAGAGATAAGATAAGGACGATAGGTGTTTGATAGAAAAGAAGAAGGCAAACCACACCAGAGCAACCGCCAACCACCCACCATGAGAAAGTGAACAATATTAGTAACTGGTTTGTGTTTACACCCCCCCCCCCCCCCCCCCCAATTGTGGGGTCCAAAATGTGTCCAGATGCTAAAAAGTTTGTTTAGATTAGTTTAAGGCCCAGAGAAAAAAAAGCCTGTCGAACAGACAGAAAAAACACAATACAAGAAAGAAAATTTGAGAATATTCTGCGAATGTATGTCACTCACCCTTGTCTTGATGAATCGTCTCGCTCGCCTGGTGTTTGAAGAAAGCGCACGGAACAAAAGAATCGCTTGTTGTATACGCATGGCTTGCTACTCCCCGCATGCCCTCCAGTTATATAGGATGGGCGCGCAAAACTACAAACGAAATGAATAAATTTAACACCAGAACATGATGAAACATCATTTTGCACACGTAAACAGTTTGGGGTTTTTTTGTTTGGCCTTTTTTTTTGGTTGTTGTTGCTTTGTTGGGGGTTCTTTTTTTTCTTTTTTTTTTTTGTTTTAAA